CCATCAGCCTCCTGGACTCTTTCTTTTTTAGTAATTGTTTTGTACAGGTTTTAGGTTTTATGTAACTGTATATTTATTTATTGTTTTAATGAGTTGTGAGCCGCCCAGAGTCGCCCATTAGGGGGAGATGGGTGGGGATAAATTTAATAAATAAATATTTAAATGAATAAGTGTGAATGGAGCAAAATCTGTGTACTATAGGGTATCATGAAGGCATGATGAACAAGCTTGATGAACATCAGTTCATTGTAAGCTTATGGCTCCTGTGTTGAAATTGTCCGGGCCAATGTAATATCAGGTATTGTGGATGCTGTGATGTCCGATGTGTACAGTGATAAATAGAGTGAGCAAGATATTTTCATAAGATAACAAGCACCAGTGTATATACTTATAAACAATAAGCCTAAAAAAATTGATAGTGGCATTTGGCAAGCATTCAAGTTATTTTAAAACAGTGTAAGTGACTAGGGAATATATTAGAAGCATGGGATTAAAAAAAAAAACCTTAAATAAATAATCAAATATAAATTAATTCCAGGAAATTATGCAAGCCATACAGTAGGCACCCTTACTTTTGGGGGAAAAAATCCTTTGATTTGCTGTCTCATCTTTGTGAAAGATGAGTTGTTCTGTATCATAGGAGTTAATTTTAGTATTTTAACAGTTTTTAATTGAATTATTTCCATTTAAATTATTATTAATATATTGTTTTTAAATTGTCATTTGGATTTGCTGTTAATGATGAAAAACCAGTTATATTTTGTATAAGTAAGCAAATAAATAATTAAAGACCGTGCCCATTTTGGAATGAATTTTATATCTCGGTTATTACTGCAGACATTTTTGTATGAGTATAATTTGGAATAGATATTTCCAAGTATGTTTCTTTATATATGTGGAAAATCAGCCAGATCTCAAAAACAGTTGAAGTATGGTATGTTTGACTTGAGATTTCTTTTCTCTTTCCCAACAGTGTTCTTCAGTGCACAGAAAATGTGAATCCAGGAAATTATTCAAGAAGTTTTCAGTGTTCTGTTTGCAACACATCCTTCAGCTCAGAATTGAGGTTCCCTGTCTTAATTACTGGGCTACTCTCATCTTGCTGCTGACTCCTCTTTGCATGTTTGCTTGCTTTCAGATTTTGTAGCTGCTCTGTGAACACTTAATTCTGTAAGATGGAAAATGCTTTTGTTCCAACATGCAGTAAGTTATGCATGAAGTGGGCTAGAAGTCTGCTGCACAGCATGTGCGTTCAAATGCCTGGCAAGACTACTTTTTCAGGAGTAGTCCTTTTTCTTGATGCATTATTTTTCTCTTCTTCGATCACCTGACATCAGTTTTGAACAACACAAAGAAGCGTGCCGAGGTGATGCTAGGTTCGTATGCAAGGCTGACAGCTGTGGGAAGAGGTTCAGGAGTAAGGATGCCCTGAAAAAGCACAAGGAAAATGTTCACACTGGTAAATAACATATTGGAATTGTCATTACTGAAGAGCCATTTCACTAGTTTTAGAATTTATTAATACACAGTTAAGGAAAGATTGGTAGCCTTTAACAAATTGTGGGAGCTAAAATTCAAGCTCCAACTTCAGAGGAAGATATTTCTGAACGCTAATTTTTGTAAAGGCCACTGTCATCATCATCATCATCATCATCATCATCATCTTTAAGGTTACACTTGGGATGGTTGAGCAGTTGCTGATACTGAAGCAATATGTTCAGGCTCACCAGCACTTATATCAATGCCTGTTCATCCTTCTACATGTGGCCAATTGAACAGCATGGTCTAGAAAAGGAAAAATGGTGGCTGATTTCCCAGGATCAGCTTCTGAGAAGATAAACCTGAGGCAAGAAGATTACTGATCAGAATGATGGGCATGTTGTTGCCCACCCAACCCCACCCTACTCTACCCAACCCCACCCTACCCCACCCCAATCTGGGGTTCATGATTATCATGTGTTTGTATGCTTCCCAAGAGTATACAGTTAATTGATTACTGAATATACAAAACAGATAACTTTAGTGTTTGTGCTCACATTTTGAAATTGTTTTTAGAGAACCTGATAAAACATATACAGTGCCTTTATCAATTAGTGACATGCAAGTTTCAGATGGGGATATTTTCCCCAATTCGTATGTTTCGTCCGTGGATGCAATGTCACAGTGCAAAGCCTGTACGTGTTGTCACAGTGCAAAGCTTTTCTGTACGTGTTGTGACTTTGCATGCATGTGCCAAAGGAGCAAAGCTTGCAATGTGATACTGCATTTGTTAGGCTGATAAAAGCAGCAAAAGCTATGGATGCTACTGCTGAGAGCTTCTGATTATCCATTATAAGTGATTGGGTGGCTGCCTTCTGCTGAATAAACAAAATTGTAAGGAATATAAGGCAGCCTGGCTCAGGGAACAAGCTCATTGAATGAATAGGCAGGGAGAGTTAATAGGAGTTTGCCTGTGAATTGGCACGTTTGTTTTCTTGCTAGAAAATAATCTGGAATATATGTAAATTTATAGCAGTCCTTGAACAGAACATCAAGGATAGATGTAACAAGTGGCAACATTTCAGTTCATGAGAAAGCATAAGTATATATCAGTCTAAGGGCTCTGCAGCAAAAATGGACAGTGAAATCATCCATCCATATGGAAGACATGCAAATATAGGAGCAAGCCCAGTGAATGAAGTAACAGCTAGAAGCAGATATCATGGGTGAAATAGGCTCTGAGTATTCAGGGGAAAGAAAAGACTGCAGGATGGGAGACAGTGGATCCCTAAAGTATTCAGAAGATAGACAAGTCATGGTAGTTGATGCTTTTCTACTATGAACAATTGAATTAAATGTATATCAAGTGAATTTATCTGCACATGAAATATGCTATCTATGAGAGCAAAGAACAAGAATATGATAGGAGAATGTCCATGATTTATCAGATCCAATGACAATTGTCGTTTCCTGTGTATATGACCATGGGGGCTCAGATGATAGTGTTACCTGTTCGTACAATCCAAAGAAGCACTGGTGGAGTAGTGGCTAAGTAATCTGAAATTGGGTGAGCTTTTGGTGTTTCTCTTGTCATGGTCAGATCACACCCTGATTTCCTTGGGATTCTCTAGCACCACTACCTGCTACAGGTAGGCTGGACCTATAGATTGGTCCGCCCCTGATAACTGATGGACCTTGATGGGTTTCAGAGGAAACTGGGGGTTGCTTTGCTGGTCTGCTGCATGGTCCATCCAAAGCCTTGGTTGCCACTTGGAATAAGGGGGCAGTTGAGGCTTTGGATTGGATCGCGCCCATATGACCTCTCCCATCTTATGGATTCCATCACTCCCTGTGGTTTACAGAGGAGCTAAGGGAGGTAAAATGAGAGAAGAGATGTCTAGAGCATCCCTGGCACTCAACCAAGGACGAGCCTGACCGGACATGGGTTAGAGCCACTATTAAGGTCCACCTTGTGGTAGTAAGGGCAGTGAAGCAACAGTACTTCCCTGCCCTTATTGCAACTGCAGATTGCCACTCTGCAGGCTTGTTTTGGGTGACATGAGCCCTCTTGAGTAAAGGGGGCCTGGAGCACCTTTTGCAGGGGCGTGCAGAGGAATTTGCTCAGCATACGTTGGATAAAATCCCTCAGATTTGTTTGCAGTTGGACACTGGTTTTGTTGCAGGTCCAGAGGAGTTACCTGGGATGGAGACTTGCCCAGTTATCTGGGAATGGTTTGAACCTGTTGGACCCGAGGAAGTGGACAGGGTCCTTTAAGCTGTGAGCTCAGCTACCTGCTCCCTAGATCATGCTCCTCCTGGCTTGTGGAAGTGGCCTGGGGGATGTCGTGTGAATGGACTCTAGCAGTGGTTAATTCTTCTTTGAGGGAGGGGGTTATTCTGTTGTAATCTTAAACAGCTTCTAGTGTGCCCTTTCCTCAAGCTATCACTAGATCTCACCATACTGGACAACTTTCGTCCAGTATCTAACATCCCTTTTTTGCATCAGGTGGTTGAGAAGGTGGTTGTGCAACAGCCTCAGAGGGCCTTGGATGAAGCAGTTTATCTGGATCCCTTTCAGTCCAGATTCAGACTTGGGTATGGGCATTGGTCACACTTCTGAATGATCTCTGGCATGGGCAGGATGGAGGTTGTGCATCCATCCTTGCTCTACTTGACCTCTTGGCGGTTTTCGATACCATCAACCATGGTATCCTGGATCGGCTCAGGACTGGGGATGGGTGGCAGGGTTCTGTGCTGGTTTGCCTCCTTTCTCCAGGGTCGATTCCAGTTGGTGATGATTGGGGAGGAGAGGTCCCACCCTCAGCCCCTACTATATGGACTGCCACAGGGCTCAGGGCTCTCCCCTCTCCTGTTTAATATCTACTTGAGACTGCTGGGTGAGCTCATCCGCCACCATCAGTATGCTGATGATACCCAACTATACATCCTTGCCCTTGCTGAAGTAAGTGATGCTGTGAATGCCTTATCCTGGTGTCTGGAGGCTGTGGGGGTCTGGATGGGGAGCAACAGACTTCAACTGAACCCTGGGAAGACTGAACCCTGGCTTTGGGTTTGGGGTCCTGCCGGTTCCAGGACTATACCATCTTTGGTGCTGGATGGGGTGCACTGCCCCAGACAGGCCAGGTCCATAACTCGAAGAGCAGATGGCAGTCATGGCTAAGAGGGCCTTCGCACAACTTTGTGTTGTACTCCAGTTGCACCCCTTCCTGGATCGGAAGGCACTGCTCACAGACAATCATGCCCTAGTCAGATTGGACTACTGTAATATGCTCTACATGGGGCTGCCATTGAAGAGTATCCAGAAGCTTCAACTGGTGCAGAATGTGGCAGGGCAGGCAGTTACATGTGATCCTAGAAGAGCACATATTTCACCTCTGCTTTACGAGGTGCATTGGCTGCCAGTTTGCTTCCGGGTCCAATTCAAGGTGCTGGGTTTGACCTTTAAAGCCCTTAATGGCATGGGGCTTGGTTATTTGAGGGACTACCTCTCCCTGATTACATCAGCCTGTCCCATTAGATCCAGCAGGGAAGGTATGCTACATGTTCCATTGGCCAGGGACTTGCATTTGGTGGGTCCCAGGAGGTGGGCCTTCTCTGTTGTGGCTCCCTCCTTGTGGAACATTCTCCCTCCTGAAATTAGGCTCACTGCTCCCTACTGTTGTTTAGGAGGTCCCTCAAGACCTGATTGTGTCATTAGGCCAGGGGGTCTTCGGGAACTGGAGACATTCTTAGATGGCTCCACTGTAATTGATTTTCTACTGTCTCTGTGGGGTTTGTGTACTTTAAAACTTAAATGTTTTAAAATTTGTGATAATGGTTTTATTTTAATAATAACTTTTTATCTTTTTATAATGCTTGTTTTTATTCACTTGTTATTTTATTTAATTGTTGCATTCTGCCCAGAGTCGCTTTGTGTGAGATGGGCAGCCATATAAATGTGACATATATATAAATAAATAAATAAATAAACAAACAAACAAATAAATAAAATAAAATAAAATAAAATAAAAGGAAGAGGACCAGAAAGGGAAACAATATTGCAATTCAGTAACTAGCTACACAAATGGCGCTGACAGAAGATATTTGATTTCTGGGACCATAGTCTCTGTCAGCTAACACAACCAAGAAAACTAGTGTCTCAGAGTTTTATTAAGCAGTTTTATTGAAAGGGAAAACAAGCCATCTTGGGTACAAAAATCTTGACAACTAGATATATTTATCTGAGTGTTTTATATATCCCCTACGTTTGTTAAAATGGGGATTCCCCAATCCTCTTGTTAACTGCCTGTTGATCTAGTGTGGAGTTGCCTCCCATTTTCTTGATGAGGAAAATATGCAGATGTTCTGAACTTGTAATATTTTGCAAACCTCCATCCTTTTTTCCAGGCTCTGGAAAACTCTGAGAAGTCTGTTACATCAGAAGTATCTAAATGATGGACTGCTGGCACATAATATGTCAGCCCCGCTAGATAGAACAGATCAGAGAATCAACTCCACAAGAAGGCTAAAACTATTTTTATTGAGAGTGGCTGTAATAACAGGATCTTGCAAGTCTGAGACTTCCTGGGAAGAAATGGTGAACTGAAGATGGCTCCACTAAAAACGTGGAGAATGAAGAGCAGACGAGTAGACTGGCTCTTCATAATTCCTCTCCAGACAAGGAGAGGACTTGAGATCACCCACAAGTGGTCCAGACAGTTGCTAAGTGAGGAGACTGCAAGATAGAGCTCTGGGAGATGAGGGAATAGCCATCTTGTTCAAACCACGGTCAGTGCCTTCAAAAGGACACTGGGTTCACATACTTCCTTTTCTAATCACTTTTGGAAATTGCTTGTTAACTGCTTTTTGGCTATTAGGGACCTTTGGATCGATAAGTCTGAAAACACAGGGTGAGTTTCCTTCAATCCTTAGTGAAAGAAGTCTTAAATACAAGTTTAAGGATTAATTATTTTTTTATTTTGAATAAACAGCCAAAGAGTGATTAGAATTTTGATTTTGGAAAGTTACAAATGGACTAAGGGTCCAGATGGATTTGAAATAAGCTTTCGGAATTAATTATAAGAATCCTTCCCATGGGAAAATGCTTTTGTTTTGAATAAAGTTTTAAAAAAATAAGAGGACGGGAGTTTGAAGGTTGGATACTAGAAGGAACTAATGATTACAATTAAAGGAGAAGAACACTTAAATTTGACTTATTAATACAGAATGGAGCAAAATATTTTAACATTGGACTATTAGAGAACATTTCTGAACAATGGACCCAGAAGTTAATTTTAAGAGTATCTGCCTCTATAGATAGTCTGTATTTAAAAGATGTTTTGGAAAAGGAACAAGTTTTACCATACAAGACTGAGACTGATCTGAAAGTGTATTTAAAAATGACAGGCTACAAGAATGATATGGAAAAAGATGTTACACTGTACATACAAAAGAAACTAGCTGATGTCTTAATGATTAAAAGGGTTATACAAATAACAAACCAAGAGAGTGACCTGGATGATTTTCCTATATTGGATTTACAAAAGAGGCTTGTTAAAGTTTTGAAAAATTTTATGAGAAGGGACAAAGAAAAAATTTAAAGAAATCAAGTCTACAAAGTTATTTGAAGGGAGTAAAAATCAAGATTGTTAGAAGTAAGAATATAACTGACTTGTGTTGTCCACAGCTTTCTTCTTGAGAGAGTAGAGGAGTGATTGACATTAAGCAATAACTGATTAAATCCTTAGTTGAGTAAATAGGAGTTACAGGAATATCAGGTGAAAAATGGTTATGTAATGCTGGAGTTATTCATTTTAAGGGAAACCAAAAGTAAGCATAGTCAAATGTATCACAGACTTCAGAAAATGAGATATAATAAACTCAGCTATGGTTTTATTTATTCATTATACTTGTATCCTGTCTCACTCACGCAACTTACAAGTAGAGAATATAACAAAATTAAAAACCCATAAAAAGCACCTTCCTAAAACCCTAACATAAAATAACAATAAAAATAGAAATGGTGTAATGCATTAAATTAAGAGAATGCCTTCTGAAATAGTTTAGTTTTCAGTAATTTCCTGAAAACCAACAGGGAGGGGCTGAGTTTTATCTTCAAAGGGATGGCACTGGCATAGAATAGCACCTTTGCCTCCCAGAAGTTCAGAACCACCAACAGCTGTTTCCCACAATATCTAACTGATTGGGCCAATTCTGTGATATTCACCACTCACTAATGATGTCAACTATTGAGAGTCCTTTTCTGAGTCTGGTAATATATAAATGCAATAAAATAAATTCAATAAATCGCATGAGAAGGTAAGGGGAAAAGGAGCTCAAATGGGTGGAAGTTTGCAGAGAAGGAGATATTAAAAACAAATTGCAACAATTCTGTGAGAAAAAAAAATGGAGTCTCCCAAAAGAAGTCAGTGTGTTTATATAGAAAGCTTAGCAAAGATCTTAAAACAAGGAGGAACACATAAATAAATGGAAAGAAGGCCATATCAAAAAGGAGGTCCATGTCAATGTAGGCCAGAACTGAAGAACTAGTGACCAGAAAGTGAAGTTTAGAATTTGCTAAAGAATGTGGGGAAAAGGGGCTTCTTCAGTTAAGCTCAGGGTAGCTGAATAGCATAGATACTCAGCTCCAATTTTATTCAGTCTTCAACAACAACAACAAAATCTGTTCCATCAGCAAATGTTGAGGGGTACATTGAAGAGGCAAGATTAAAATTTCAGACCGATAGAAACATCGTCCAAATGAACTTAAATATACAGGACTAAATAAGTTGACTTATAGGCTACTGAAGGTGGTGGTCTAGCCCAGTGATTCTCAGCATCAGCAACTTTAAGATGTGTGGAGTTCAGCCCTCAGAATTCCTTAGCCATCTTAAAGTTGATGACATTGGGAAACACTGGGCTAGCCAGTCCCTTATCTCTTATGTTTGAGAAATCCTTAAGAATGATGATTTGAGAAATGTCAGATAACAGGAAGAGATAAAATATTCTTCCTATCTTCAAAAATGGGTAAAGGGAAGATTCAACAAACTACAAACTACTCAATACCTAGGAATATTCTAGTGTAAATAATAAAGAGATTGATCTGTAAGCTCACTGAAAACATTGTAGCTGCTAGTAGCCAGCATGGCTTGGAGCTCTATACTCGGAATACTCACTGAAGGCTTTTTATTAAATTGGAGAGAGATAAACTGGGTGCCATAGTTCTGTGTTTTCATTAACACTTTCAATGAAGAGGTGGGGGGAGTGCTTGTCAAATGTGCAAATGGTACAAATCATTTGAATAAAATTCCAAATTATATTGATAGAAGTGAAATAACAGTATGAAATTTAACAGAGATAAGTACAAAATTCACTTTAAAAAAATTAAGTACACAGATATAAGATGAGGATACTTGTAAAAAAGATCTTGGAAGATAGTTGATTACAAATTGATTCTGAGCCAGCAGTGTAGGATTGCATTAAAATTATGCATTAAAATCATTGTTATTAATTATATTTTTATCTCTGCTTTTTTTTTTTTTTTAAAAAAAAGGAAGTCTGGACTGTGTAGTTCCATCTATTCTAATTTGGTTAGATCCTACCTCAGATTTTAAAGGTTTTAAGAGGGGTTCGGCAAAATTACATGAGATCCAGAAAAGGAGAATAAAAATGATTGGGAGATTAGAATGTATGAAAAGAGCTTTAACTGAATATATTAAGCCTTGAGAAAAATTACTGAGAAAAGAAGGTAGCACCTAAATGGTTGTCGCAAACAAGGCAACCTATCGTCTCTTCTTCCAGAATGTAGGACGTAGAATATGATTCTTTGATTAATTAGTAATAAATGGTTCTCTTGAAGAGTTAGCTAAAGCACAGAAATACTTCATAATGTGTTAGTATGAAGGAAGCACCCTTCACTGTAGCATTAAAGTAGCTGCATCCTTTGAAGAGTCATACAAATATTTCAAACACTTGTCTAGGTTTTATGTGCATGCTTGTGCATCCACTGACAACACTTCTGCAGGGACCACCAGTGAACCGAAGTGTCTGGTGATGAACACACACACACACATGCAGGCAGCTGGAGATACCCTCTGAAGTGACCACGAGTTTTTCAAAGGACACAGCTGCTTTAATACTTAGAGAAGAGATATTTTGTTCATGCTAACATACTTTGCAAAGCACCTGTTTTGAATGCTTTGCCTAGGCCTATTCTCTTGGCTTTGGAGAAACTATAGCATTTTCACCAACTTTATCTGTTATGCCACACAATTATGCCACACAATTATGCCACACAAATTATTTAGGTTATCAAAGAAAGGGCTGAACTGGAACATTTCCAAGCTGTGAACTTGTTTATTCAGTGAGAGTATAATTCTGTCTATAATAAGGCTGAACACACTGAGTCAGATGTTATCTGGAATTAGCTTCAGCATATTGATTTTTATCTTGCCCATTGCTGATTCAGATATTAAACTTGTTCTAATGCTGTCTTACATTAAAACTAGTATAATAGTTAACACCGAAATCCATAAGACTAAATCAGAGTAACTTGTGAACTCTCAGTTAATTCCTTCCTTTATGCAAATATTTTATGATATTTCTAGAAAACAGTGACTAATATGTATCTTACGTAGGCATATTTTAGGGTACATGGAAATATTTATTGTTACAGTATACACAGATACTATATTGGGTTACTTTGTTTAGAGAAATGAAACCCTTCTTGGTCTACGTTTCATAGGCAAAATCTTTGGAGGACACCTACAGAGTCTGTCTTGTAACTTAATATGTTAGAGATGGGGGGAAAGTGTAAAATTCTTGTATCCATCAAATGACCTGTGAAAAATGGCACAGGCAATGAAAACATTTGGCTTTGTCCTTTGTACTTCTTTATTAAAGCTGTCGGTGGTATTTTTGTTTCTGTTTTAGGAAACTCTAGGAAGAGGCTGATGTGCTCAGTGTGCAATAAGAGGTGTTCTTCAGCAACAAATCTTCAAGAGCATCGAAAGGTCAGTCAAGCGAGGGCTGGCCCCCAGCAGGTTTCAACTTTGCTAGGGTAGAGGCCGTAGAGTTCAGTCCCCTGAGAACTGCTGAGACCCAAGTTATCCAGGTTTTTTTTCCAGCTGATAAACACAGTAGTCTGAAACCTAAGTATTTATTTTCACTATCATGTTAAATCAAAGATAAAGCAAAACACCATTTTGTATTTCTTCCCTGTCCTAGATATAGCAATTTAGCTTTAGGTATATATTACATTTTTAGTTATAGTCATAATGCTTAAAATTATGAATAGATGCTGAATCCATAGGTATATCATAATAATTTAATAGCCACTTAAATCAAATGATTTTTTTCTTTTAACAAAAGTCTATTCTGCACTATTTGTTCTACTAAATATTATTAGCACTATTAGTCAAAACAGCATTTATCCTGTACTAAAATATTTACATTTAATTGTCCAGGAACATTATTTTAAAAGAAGACGACAAATGATAGATGTTAGGCAAAAAAAAGTATCTGTTTCACCTCTGTCAATGATATCTGAAAACTATACAGGATAAAATATCTGTCATTGTGGCTGACATTTCGTTAGGTGTTGCCCACACCAGCATACTGCTCTTAAGAGTTGGAAGCATGTTTATTTTCAGAACAAAGTGTGATATTGAAGTTTCTCAGTTCAGTAGTACTTCCAGATTCTGAAGCTGATATACTCCCAGTCTGTTTTGATTGATGCAGCTGCATATACAAATACATTTTGGAAGTTGCCTTATACTTAGAAGAAATTGCACTTATTGCCTATGTTAAAAATGTGTTGGATATTAAAAATGTGTTGGATAACATATTTGTATTAATAAACTTTATTTTGGTAACTGCCTGAAGCTCACTTTCTCATTCTGATTATGAGTTTTGTGTGCTATTCTTCCCCCCCCTTTTTTTTTTTGCTTTTATTATAATGATCTGGCTTTGCAGTTTGTCTTAAAACTAGTAACTACATAAGCAGTTAATCTCAAGCAAAGTGGCACTATTTTTCAGTGTTTACTCCAAGGCATCCAGTTCTGGTCCTGTAAAACAAAAGAGCTTTTTTTCCCCATAGGCTAGGTATTTTGCTTTCTGTTCTTTCTTAGTGGGTTACGGAGAACAAGTTAGAACATCTGACAGATAAGGTAGAGGTAGTAAAATATATGATTGTAGAGTTGTTTTATTCCAATAATGAATTGCAAAGGGAGATGTGTATGTTCGTGTGTGTGTGTGTGTGTGTGTGTGTGTACAGGTAGTCCTTGTTTAGCAACCACAATTGGGACTGGCAACTCGGTCATTAAACAAAGTGGTTGCTAAGTGAAACTGTGATTAAGCTTAAGATCTTACTTCAACTTTCCTTTGCTTTACAGACCTGTGAAGGTTGTAAATGCAAGGATTGGTTGCAAAGTTACTTTTTCATAACCATCGTAACTGAACAGTTGCTAAACAAATCAGTTGCTAAATGAGGACCACCTGTATATATACACACATACATATGGTGTTTGAATATTTACATTTTGTCAGTCACCTTTCAGGATTATATTGATGTATTCATTTATTCTGTATAAACTTAATTAAGATTAAAGGTTATACTGTATAATCTTCTAAAAGAAATATAAAATTTTATTTCTAAAGAAACGGATTTTTTTTATCATCTTAGGTTTATGGAAAAAAACTAAAAAATGATCTAGAACAAACAATCCTATGAACATTTCTATTATAATTATTATATCAAATTACTTTGATAGTTGATGCATAATTTTGTATATATGCCTTTTCTTCTGGACTATCAGAAAAATAAAAAAAATGCTGTATTAATACAGCAAATAATACTTTGTT